AGGGGTTGTGGAGTTGCTTCTCGGAGATGGTGGGAGAGGCCTACTAGACAAGCGGAGGGTACAATTGCAATATCAAGAAGAGAGGGGATGTGTTTCTGTGTGTGCGTGTGCATGATAGATGTGTCGGGAGGCATGCATGGATGATGAAGGGGGCCATATGTGTTTGGTAAACAGACCTAACTAGATTGGTAGATCAATTGTTGTGTGTCAGAGGAAGGGAGAGACATAACTAATGAGGTAGATCGATCGGCGCGTGGGGAGAACGAGTTATAGACGACCTAGCTAACTATATGTATAGTGGGAGATCGGTCGGTGTACATCCATTTATTAGAGGCAAATAAGGCCCAGTTATACGTAGAGAGAGAGAGAGAGAGATGGAGCTAGGAGGTGGTGCGGGAGGCCTACTAGATAGGGGGAGGAGTGTGCGATTGTGAGATCGATGACAAAAGGGGCGAGAGTTTACACGTGTGTGGGACTGTATGAGAGACATGAGGCATGGACAGAGAAAGGAGGAGATGGAAAGTGTGTGTGTGTGTGTGTGTGTATGTGGTAGGCAGGCCTCACTAGAGAGGTTTATCGATCCATGTGTGTCGGAAAGAAGGAGTTATGGAGAACGTGGGAGAATGACTAAAGAAAATAAATGAATGTGCGTGATGGATAGAATGCTGAGGGAGGGGGAGGGCGAGAAGGGTATGTGCATGAACGAGAGAAAGTTAGTGCTAGCTACAAAGGTTAGAGGAGTGTGTGTGGGTGTAAAAGACTAACAAAGATCATAATTCGTTATAAAAATGGATTCATATATTTGAATAAGAGATCATGGTGTTTTAAACCTATGCATGCATGAATATAGCGGTAATACTTATGGTGTGGTTTTGGACATGTTATAATGTAATGTGATAATGTGTGGTGTTTGGAACTCCCAACTAAATATCAAACAATCTAAACCATACTATATATCGAACAATCTCACATTTCATTTGAATTTGTGATAATGTGTGGCGTTTGCAGATCACAACTAAATATCGAACAATCTCACATTTTATTTGTATTGGTGATAATGTGTGGAGTTTGCAACTCACAGCTAAATATCGAACAATCTAAACCATACTATATATCGAACAATCTCATATTTTATTTGAATTTGTGATAATGTGTGGCGTTTGCAGCTCACAACTAAATACTTGCATGCGTACGGGGTGGGGCAACATACATTATGTGATAAACACATTATACATATGAGACATGGTTTAGATCATGAATATCTAGCTAGAGCTTGAAATGTACTGTGATTTGAAATCAACATAAAATAAATTCAAAAATTCGAGTTCGAGTTAATATAGTACACATAGTTCATATCTAACTCGACAGTAATCATGTGGTGTGTTGTGAAGATAATATACAAACAATGGTTTAACTTGACAACAATGATGATGGTAGATCTTATTAAAATAGATAAACGAATTCAAATGATTTAACTTGACAACAATCATGATTGTACATCTTATTCAATAGAGAAACGAATTCAAATTTAGTTCATATTGAAGCAGTAGTATATACGTTTGGAATGCACTAAAATGTTAATTTGAGTGGCAGGTTACATGCATTATACACGTAGCAAAATATTTTAATTGACATTACATGGATTCAATGTTTTGAATGGCATTTGTAGTAACTCATACAGTAAAACGAGACAAGATTCTCTTGTGTGATGCGAATTGATTTCTTTCTGTTTTTTCGTCGAGGGAAGTGCGAATTGATTTGGTACAGTACACGTTAGGCTTGTCCGAAAATTTCAACCCGCGCCTTGTTATCTCTTTGTCTCGTTGTGCTCCTAAAATTCCCTCTATCTCAACCCGCGCCTTAATATCCCAAAATTACAACGCGCTCAAAAACTCCCACCTCCTCTGAAATATCGATGCGTGAAATTCCCATGATACCCCTGATTCGAAGGAACCACCTAGTTCAAATCGCTGGGGGTACTTTCGTAACTTACCCATATTCCGGACAAGCGTGTCCCTAAGCCAAGGTTACCCCCTCCCATCCCCTCCGCCCCCATTTGTACATCGAGGCCGCGAAAACCCGCGAAGCACCACACCCTCCTCCGTCCGCCACCCAGCCGAAGCCTTTTCCCCGAAGACATCGTCCACCACAACAGCTCGACGTCCCTCATCCACCGCACCGCATGAGGATCCGTCGTCGATCTCATCGTCCCACCGGTGCAGCCACCACGTCCTCCACCTCCAAGGAGCTGCCCCGTTGTTCGCCTCGTCTATCGCACCACCTACATTGCCACAACACCGTCTTCACTTGCACCACCAGAAGAGCAGCACCATCACTGATTCCTGGGATGAAGCTCAGGCCTAATCGGCGCCGCCAAAGAGGTTCTACATTATCGCTGCATTTTTCTTCTTGATTCGACCTCATGGTGCTGCCGCCGCTCGGTTCGGAGCCCCCATGGCGTGGCTAAATCTACGGCGGCGCCGGCCACTTCCTCCACGGCGTCGATCCCTCGGCGGCGACGTCCACATCAGTAGAAGTTGCTGCTGCTCAGGCTCTCGCTGGCCCTGCTGCTGCTACTTTGGAGTTAAGCGTGTTTAGGCCAAAGTAATGAGATGATGGGTGACTGGCAGGGAAGTTAACGATTTGAAATGAGTGCTCCACACTTGAGTAGTAATGAGGGGTGATTAGAGATTAAATTGTCAAATAATTCAGAAATTTGAAAATCAGGAAAAAATTCAAAAAAAATATCCGGAAAAAAAATTCAAAAACATCATTTAGTCCCGGGACAAAAGGTGGAGCTCCATACATCGGCCACGTGGAGCCCCTTCTGTCCCGGTTCGTAAGCAAACCGGGACTAAAGGTTTTGGGCTTTAGTCCCGTTTGATTTGTCCCAATTCCAGAACCGGGACTAAAGGCCCTCTGGAACCGGGACAAGTACCCTGTTTTCTACTAGTGAATGAATGAAATTACATAAAAAATAAACCACATTAGTGGGGAAAAATTCCTTGAAAGCAAGATTTATTTCATGTCTTCTATTATAGCCTCAAAAAATAGGAGCCACGTCACTCATAAAAGCATATCTATCATGTGCAAGAAAGGAACTAAACTAGTTTTGGAACATATCAAGCATATTTTCTAGTGTTTCCGTGACACCAAAAGCCACACTAGCAACATGCCAAACAAATATATTTAGCTAGAGGACAAGAAAATAATATGAAAACTCCATAGCCTCATGGTCTCCACAAAACTCACACAAATCATCGCTGGTTAATATTCTAAACCTTCAGCTTTAAACGAAGATCCAACCTCCAAAAATGTGTATAAGCAAGGCTAAGTTTTTTTTTTCTAATACGCATACATTGGCTGCATTTGTCACGTAAGTGCATTTGGAGGTTTCAGTTATACCATTGTTTTTTGAGACAACATACTTCAAACTTTGATGTGTTTAGCATCAAGAAATTAAATACCACGGTTTTATAAAGAGTAGTAACTCCAACACTATAATATTTTTGCAGTATCTTTAGAAAGAGGTCGTGACCTCTTTTTCCTAAACCAAACAATGCAATTATGTTATAAAAAAGAACTGAAGTATTCGGCAGCACCGGCATATTGAAATTTTCCGTTTACCAAAATGAACAGCCAAAATTGACTTGATCTATACAGTAAAAGAACTCTTTAAAGATACCGTGCTCCCAAACTAGGCCAAATGCATTTGGAGTCGCCGCCCACGGTATCAAACACCGACACCAACTCCCCCTGGGCCAAATTGATATACGTTAGTCGTAGTCGAGACCCGTTCATCAAAGGCGTATTTGGACTTTTGGAGAGCAGCATGTGCATTAATTTCGGAAGTCAGAAAGGGAGAGTACGTACTGCTACTATGGCCATGCTTGGATTCAAGGGACTATTTTTAGTCTAACTAAAACTAGTCTTTTTTAGAGGCTAAAGTTTCAATCTCCCCTGACTAAAGAGAGGCTAGAACTAGTCTTGAGACTAAAAAAATTTAGTCAGGGGAACCCTACTAAAATGTGGATTAGTCCTCTCTCTCCTCATTTAACTCCTTTCCTTTAACACATGCGAGTTCGGGATTGGAGGGTTTGGAGGATAATAAATGCTCATTAACTCATTTTAGTCTATTTAGTATTTATATCCAAGCATGGGTGAGGCTAGCAAATTTTAGTTCCACTACTTTTAGTCATGGGATTAAAACGTATCCAAGTATCCTCTATATTGCTGATACTCCGTCAGTGAACATGGGAAGCTAGCCACTCTTCTCGTATCTGTCGGTCGATCCGGGGCCTTGCATGCAGCTGGAGAATCGAATCTGTTACTCCTACTTGGACACTGTCATTTTGACCGATCGACGTGCATCTCTCGTTGTTTGCGTCGCCATTACTATCACAAGATAGCCCGAAGATCTCTGAGTTGAAGTGGGGTGCGTTACTCGGTCAAAGTTGAGGGCACCGGCGTTAAACCCTAGTAGGTTCGGAGATGATTAACCTAGTGGTATATCAATTTACGAGGAAACGCCAATGTCAAAGGATCCGACGATCAACTTACACGTTCTTTCACATGTCCAAAGCATCCAGCAGATATAATTAATCTGTCTATATCAGGCCAGGGGAATCTCTTGCTAATTAACTAGGCCTTCTCTTCCGTACTCTTAGTACTTAGTTGATCTGCATCAATAAATTATCGACTGCATGGGAGAGAGAGAGAGAGAGAGAGAGAGAGAGAGATTTGGTGAATAGCAATTGCTATATGCTGTCTTGCTAGCGGCTAATCGATCTAGATCGATATAGACAAAGTCAAAGGTACTACTGCCACTCTGATCATAGGAAACTTCTCATCGAATAACCCACTCAATGCATAACCAAAAAACGGTCGAGCCGATCGCCTTAAGGTGTCGCACCCATGCACGGCCTCCACCACTATATAATCACCCAATCCTCCCTGCTCTCAGCACCCAACTCACCTCACTCAGCCCAGTCTCACTCACAATGGCTACTAGCACCAAGCTTGCAGCTCTTAGCTTTCTTGTCCTTGTGAGCATTGGGTTCGCCAATGCCGCAAGGATGCTCGCTAGTTCCTCCAGTGCTTCAGGTGGAGGGGGAGGCGGAGGTGGCGGGGGAGGCGGTGCATCCGGTGGGAGTGGATATGGTTCAGGTTCTGGGTCAGGTGGAGGCTTAGGATATAGTGAGAGCGGCGGAGATTGGGGTAAGAAGTGGAACTTCGCCAAGGGATTTGGTGGTGGAGGAGGAGCTGGTGGTGGCGGAGGATCAATGGGTGGATCCGGGTCTGGTTCCGGATCCGGCTTCGGTACTGGCAGCTCTGCGACTGGCTCCGCATCGGCCCCTAGCAGCAATGGTTATGCTAGTGCTGATGGTAAGGGTGGAGGCGGCGGCGGAGGTGGCGGTGCAAACGGATCTAGCGGAACTGGAGCCGGAGATGGCCTTGGCAAGGGATATGGTGAGAGTGGCGTTTCAAAGGCACCGGCTCCAGCTGCCGGTGGCGATGGTACCAGCTACTCTGATGCTGGCGGTAGTGGTAATGGTGGCGGCGGTGGTAACAACGGAAATGGAGGTGGTGCCGGCGCTGGCGCTGGACAGGCCGGTAGCGACGACACTTCTGGAGGCTTTGCGAATGGAGGAGGAAGCGGCAATGGTGGTGGCGCAACTGGAGGTGTCGCTGAAGGTCCAAGTGTTGGAGTTGGATCTGGTGCTGGGTCTGGCGCCGGCCAGACCGGTAGCACTGGCTCTTATGGCGAGGGATACGCCACGGGAATGGGCGGCGGCATGGGTGGCGGCACTGGTGAGAGCCAAAACGGCGGATCTGGCAGTGGTGGAGGTAGTGGGTCCGGATCAGGTAGTGGAGGATACCACTAAACTACCCTTTATTGAGCAAGCAAGAACCGGACCTTGGCATGTATTTTAATTTCCATCATTTTACTAGTATTTCAACCGAAGGACTATGTGTCATACACTAAGGGGACTAAATAGCATTCGTGGATTAGCATGTAAGTCCTACAACTGTTCTAGCGGGCTTGTGCCAATAGACGTGTTAATAATAATGTGAAGGAGTACCTCCTTTGTAATTTTCTCTATTTCAAGTCAAATTGATTGATTCCGCCTTCCAGTGGCTTTTTGAGTTTTGACCCAATTTACATGTCAAGTTCGTTTCTTGTGCATACCTGTAACAATGTAGTTTCCTAGAGCTATGCAAACTCCGCCCTTGCTTTAGATTTGAAATGTTCCATCTGTTTTAAACTGGGTTCATTTTAGAATCAATATTTAACAAAATATTTCCAGTTTAAACCGTCAACATAGAAGGTAGTACTAAGATTTATAACACTATATCAATACCACTGGATCTACCGTACAAAATGTTATTCCATATATCGTAGAAATTGATGGTCCAAGTGCTCTATACACTGTTTTGGGCAGTGTCGACACACACTAACATGTAAATGAGCTACAATATTTTGGGCAGTGTCGATACACGAGACATTAGGTCTAGAAAATACAATGTTGTCTACAGAGCATAAAGAACAAGCAATCAAGATGAATGCGGGCCCCCATTTATTATCATGCGCGAAGAAAAAATAGTGTGCAATGTCAGATTTAGAGGACTGGGCACACAAGCTAGTGGTCATTACATATTATTAGTCTGAGTGGTCAGCTATGTTTTTTTTTTGAGCATCAGTACAGACACAAGCGCTCATATACACACGCATACACTCATCCCTATGAACGCACACACGCACACCCTACCCCTATGAGCACCTTCGAGAGACTGAGCCAGCATATCATCTTGAGATTTACGAAGTCACCGTAGGCGCCTCGTCGTCGACGGGAACGTCTCCTCCCACTGAAAGCACATCGCCAGAAATCCTGAAATAAATCCAAGAATAATGCGAGCACCAGGATTTGAACCCTGGTGGATTGGGGATACCACTGTCCACCTAACCAACTCAACCACAGGTTGATTCGCGATCAGCTATGTTGTTGGATGTATGGACCGTTGCTTCATCTATAAAGCAGGGCGAAAGCCTATTTCAAGTGATCAGTCTTGCCTGATACTCCCTCGGTTTCAGAATAATTGAAGTTTGGGACTCTAGAATTTCAATTATTTTGAACGGAGGTAGTACATCTTGTGATTGGTATGAGATGACCAAATGCAATAGTAAATGTATCTTGCAAGGAGGCAAACAAGGTTCCTTTGAAATATGAGCATAATACAGAGTTAGTTTAGAGACAGACAGAAAACCATGTGGAAGCGAAAGCTTGTCACTGCCAAAAGTGAAGTTATGATGCACTCAAGTGACAATGAACATTATATCACCAATAATTGATTTTAATGTAGGAGGATGTCTTTCCATTAATTTTGGAAATAACCACGCGAGGAGCAAGATTATGTTCGGTTCAGACACATCTCACAGGTATCAGCGCTTACAAGAAGAAATCAACAACAAAAAAAGGAACTAGATCGCTTCCTACATTACATTAGATTACTACCTCCAGGTTCACACCTTCTATCTCCAGTACCAGAGAGGGCGTGAACAAGCTGAGCTGCAACGGCAGCACCATCATTATTTACACTACATAAACATAGGGAAATGTCACCTCCTTTTCTTGCCTTTTCGCAGCTGCCCAGATATAAAAGCACGTTCCTGTTTTTGAAGAAAACCCATCATTTCCCCACAAAAAAGAAAAAAAAAGGCATCATTTACCAAATGGAAACCTTCTGGGAAGAGATGCCTATGTCATCCTTGCCATGCCCATTAGAGAGGAGTTTGAAGATTACTATGCATGACATTACGATTGCAAGGGGTGTTCTCGGTGAAATCAGCGTATCAACTCTGCAGTCGTGACAAACTGACAAAGATACTTTGAGTGGAAAAACATTTGAGAAATACCTTGGCAGCCAAAAATACAACAGTTCTTGTGGAGAGTAGCGCATAATAGCCTGCCGCTTGAAACTAGTACTCCCTCCGTCTAGGTGTATAAGTCACCTTAGGCTCTTCCCAATGCTTCATGGTGTACAAGTGCTAAGGGTGCTACATAGGCAGAATAATGATTGGCAAAGCAATTAAAGAGGAGAGAGAGTATTGTGGTGACCCCAATAAAAACCAATGCTAAGCACGTGGACCTAGGCAAAAAGACTACCAACCAATACACGAAGGAGTTTTATTAATAAACTATTAAATAGAGGAGGCTTAGCTACAAAACCTAAGCACCCATGCATTAGGGACATTAGTTTCTAAGCATTTTAATGCATTGGGAGAGGTCTTACAAAAACTAAAGAATCCCAAAACACTTAGGCTAGCTATAGTGGGAGTAACTTAGGTAGTAACATAACACATCTCAAGAAACAATTGCTTATGTGGCATGGAGTTAATGAGGAAAGAGATGCTTGTGGTAACATAATATGTTACTATAACATAACACACCCCGAGGCAAAATGAGTCTATATCTCAATTAATGAAGGCTTGCATGTTACCATCCATATGTTACTACCCACATGAAGGTAGTAACATAGACTAATAACATATGCATGTTACTAGTCTAAGTTACTCCTCACTATGACCAGCCTTAAGACATGGTACATTAACTCCCACCTCGTTTCTTGTTTCGTGACATATCAACCAATAAAAGATGCGGGTCATGCATGCTTTCAATGACTTAAGCCGACCAAACACGACATGCAGCGGTGCACAACCTAAGATGACTTATACACCTAGACGGAGGGAGTATTGGTCACAGGGGATTGGAGTGTGAGCCAAGATGCATTTGCTATGCTCGGCAGACATGGCTTGCATGTTTCGCTTCGCTAGCTATTTGTCGCCATCCCTTCCGCAGTGGACAGCCTTGAGGTGTGGTGCCTAAGGGCATCTCCAGTCGCGCCCCCAGGAAGGCCTCCCCAAGCGTTTTTTTCGCGCCGGCGCCGAAAAAATGGCCCAGTCGCGCCCCCAGGAGCCTGATTTTCGCCGGCTTGGGCCGAAAACAGCGCCGGCGGACCCATCCCGAACCCGGCGCGCTGGGGAGCCGTTGGGGGCTACGGCGCTAGGGAAAAGCACGTCTGGCCCACACCGACAGGGGAAAAGTCAAGGTTATCTTCCCCGACTCGCCTCGCACCCCTCGCGCCCTCGGCCACCACTAGCTATATCCCGGCGACGACCGCCGGCCTACTCCTCTAGATAGCCATTCCCCGCCGGAAAATAGCAGCGCTTCGCCGCGACAGCCCCTCCCGCAGCAGCTGGGCGTTTCCGGCCACCGTTTCCGGCCGCGGAGGCGCAGTTTAACGGCGGGTACACGCCCACCGAGCGCAAGGTGTTCGGCGTTTTGACTGTCTCGGCGATGGACTCGGATGAGGAGGAAGAGCTCGCCGCGCTGTTGGAGGAGGAAGCCGCGGCCGACGTCCAGGAAGAAGAGCATCTGATGGTGCTCGCCGCCCTCGCCCAGCTGCTGGCGAGCAATGAAAAGCCGCGTCGAGGTGGCTCGGCGCCGGGGCGGGTGAAAGCAAAGAACCGACATCGTCTGCAAGGCTACTGCATGCTCTACTCCGACTACTTCGTCGATGCTCCACTTCATGGCGAGAGAACATTTCGGCGCCGTTATCGGATGAGCCAAAAGCTCTTCCTCAGGATTGTGAATTCCATCCGGGAGTTCGACAACTGCTTCAAGTGCAAGATGGATTGCACTAGCGCTCTTGGATTCACCTCCATCCAGAAGTGCACGACAGCGATGAGGATGCTTGCATATGGAGCTCCCAGTGATTCACTCAACGACTATGGGCGCATGGCCGAGTCCACCAGCATAGAGTGTTTCTATAAGTTCTGTCGGGCAGTGGTGGCAGTGTTTGGGCCACAATACTTGAGAACACCCAATGCGGAAGACACTGCTTGGATCCTAGCCCAGAATGCAACAAGAGGATTTCCTGGGATGCTTGGAAGCATCGACTGCATGCATTGGCAATGGAAGAACTGCCCATTTGGTTGGCAGGGGATGTACAAATGCGCCAAAGGCGGCTGCAGTGTGGTGCTTGAGGCGGTAGCCACACAGGACCTCTGGATTTGGCACTCATTCTTTGGTATGCCAGGAACTCACAATGACATCAACGTGTTGCAGTGCTCTCCTGTTTTTGCCAAGCTCGTTGAGGGCCATTCTCCTCCGGTGAACTTCGAGATCAATGGGCACCAATACAACAAGGGGTACTATCTAGCTGACGGCATCTATCCGAGATGGTCGACATTTGTGAAGACGATCTCAAACCCTGTGGCAGGAGGCAAGAACGCCTGGTTTGCGAAGCTTCAGGAGGCTTGCAGGAAGGATGTCGAGTGGGCATTTGGTGTGCTCCAATCTCGATTCGCTGTTGTTTGGTACCCCGCTCAGACCTGGTCGAAAGATCAAATGTGGGAGATCATGACTTGCTGTGTCATCTTGCACAACATGATCATCGAGAGCGAGCAAGAAGACCCAGTGTTTGACACTGAACCATACTACAGGCAGGGTCCTCTAGCCGAAGTTGATCACCAGCTACCGGCAACTTGGACTGCCTATCTCAGTATGCGTCAGGAGATCCGAGACCCACAGGTGCATCATCAACTGCAGAAAGATCTGATTGAGCACCTATGGAGGCTCAAGGGGGACGCCGCGTGATGAAATACGAGTTTTTATTTGTTGAACTATATAATTTGTATTGAACTATTTCTTGTTGTAGTATTTTGTCGAAGTATTTGATTTTCCTGTGATGAAATATGTGATAAGGAATAATTGTGTTGATAATTGAACGCCGAGACATGGCGAAACCACGCCGAATATGGGCCTACTCTCGCCCATATGGGCCGTTTATTCGCCGAAATTGGGCTGCAAAGTGGGCCAATTTC